AATTCATTAAATTAACATGGGCCTTATGGGTTGTCATGCTGGTGACAAAATATAAACAGAAAGTCAAAACAAATTCCAATCACATATTGTTTTATTTACAGTGTGGGTTGAAAATAGATAAGTCTGTACATTATATTTTTGGTCGAGTTTTCAACCACGGGACGATTTCTATTTTACTATATTATTAATTTTTTGTGGAGTGGTTCAAAGAAGGAATTGTCTGTGGCAGTTAGATTAATGTATCTGTAATACTAATATGGTTTTGGAAGGGAGAGAAAAAGGTCCATGGTGGAGGAAATAGGAGAGCCGTGTGGGAACCGTCTGTGGCAGTTAGTGCCAGTTAGAATAATGTATCTACAATAATTAAATGCCATGGGAAGGGAGGGAAACAGATCCAGGACGTAGGAAGTGGTGTAGGAAGTAGGCTAGTAAAGGCGAGCATTGCAGAGTGTGGGAACCGTTTGTGGCATTTGTTTTAATGTATCTGCAATACTTAAATGCCATGGGAAGAGGGAAGGGAGGGAATCAGGTCCCTGACGTAGGAAGTGGTGTAGGAAGTAGTAAAGGCAAGCAGTGTGGCGTGTGGGAACCATTTGTGGCATTTGTTTTAATGTATCTGCAATACTTAAATGCCATGGGAAGAGGGAAGGGAGGGAATCAGGTCCACAACGTTGGAAGTGGTGTAGGAAGTAGTAAATGCGAGCATTGCGGAGTGTGGGAACCGTTTCTTGCAGTTAGATTAACGTGTCGGTGTCTGCAATCCTTAAATGCTTTGGGAAGGGAGGGGAACAGGTCCACGACGTAGGAAGTGGTATAGAAAGAGTAAAAGCGAGCAGTGTGGAGTGGGGGAACTGTTTGTGGCAGTTGGATTAATGTAGGTATCTGCAATAGGTACTAAGACTGCTGTCAGAATAAACTAATGATTTTCCTCGAGCACAACTTGGTCCCCAGGTATTTAGTAGAATACAATGGTGTAAATTTGAGCTCAAAATAACAGCTGGGTAAAAAATGGCAGATTCAAGAAATATGTGAACAGTTGTCATTTTGACTCAGTTGTTTGTTTGAGTTTGGGTTTATGGCAATGTATTTTACTAATTAAGCCTTCAATTTAAAACCTAATTAGACCTATGATGATTCTATTAAAGGAAACATGTACAGTATTTAACATTTTAATGATTAGGTATTAAAAAACTTTTCAAAACTTAAGACAAATAGCCTGATCATACTACTGGACCGAATTACAAGGGGGTTTTACCAAAAGAAAGGTTATCGGTCCTATATGTGCTTGTTTTATTTGGATAATATTTATATTAATTGGCTCAAAAATGGAAAATCAACTTTTCTTATAAAGATTTAAACCTATATAAAATCTTCATAAGAAAAGTTGATTTTCCATAAACAAGCATGTTTATTGAAAACCTTTTTTCTCAGCTCCTGTGCATCGCAGGGAAAATCTACGCATACTTTCAACTAATTTCAGCATATTGTTTTTAAAATTACCCCCCAGGCCACCTGGTGGGCCACCCCTAGCGACCCCTGTTTCAATTACGCTCTTGCCCCCCCCCCCCCCCCCCGTATTAATCCTAGGTACGCCCTTGCTATATACTATTAGTAGAGGAGTTTCATTAATTTTAAAATGTACCAAGGAAGTACACCTTCAAATTCGGTAGCCTAGTTCCTTATGATTTTGTTGCTGATCTTTTTATCCAGGAAAGTACTCGACCGGATGAAAAGCAACAGGCCATTCAATCATGGGGTAATTGACACTGCAGCCTTAAAGCCTTTAGCCATTCATGTGTACTCCAATACTCCGACCCAACTTCCCTCTCACCTTTAACACTGTTTTTGCCAGCAGGGTAATACAGTAGGAAAGTACAAGAAATTCAACAACAAATTTTACTATGGTTTGTGGGTCTACTATAAGTTTTTAAGTTGAAAGGCCTACAGTACATATGACTAGGTAAAGAATATAAATTACCAAAGTATAAGAATCATTAACTTATTAAGAACAAAAACAAGAGGTTTTTTTATTAGGCCTATTTAAAAAGAAAAACCATGCCTAACTTTTATTTATTGTGGTATAAAAACCAATTTGTTAAAAAGCTTAAATAAAGTAATTTTTAACTACTGTGAGGTTCTTCCCTATTTGATTTGTTGTATTGGTAACGCTACAAAAAAATATTTTTAACCCCTCTAACAGGGTGGGAGGTATTTGGTGACCTAATTTTTCCTATTAAGTGACCCCTCATTTTAAAGGGTTTTTAAAAAGACAATAGCCTAATGCAAACCCAAGGTAGATAAATTATCTCACCCCTAGCAAAAATTGCAGGTAGGCCTACTGTATTCCCAATTTTGAATTAGGCCCTAGTGGAATTGATGTTTTTTCACATAGGCCTAAATCAAAGTTTGTAAGTTTGTTCAAATAATTGTGCAATATGAATAAAAATATAGGTAGTAAATCACTTGTGGGGCCAAAGTGTCTTTTCAACACTCGCTCACTTTCCAGCCTCAGCTTCACCTTGATCGTAAGACTTTAGCTCGGGGTTGAAAAGAGTCACTTTATGTCTAGTGGATGAAATTTACTAAGTAGCCTATTTAAAACCAAAAAGAAATACCGTAAGTTTGCCAGCACTGTACCTTTGAAATCGCTCTCTAAATATAAGTAGAGGGGTGCTAAACAGAATTACCCTTTTAATTTAAAAAAAAAATCATTAAGCTTTAATTGCAGACTTAGTGGATATCAAACTGTCTAAATGGATTTTAGTCAATTTGTCTAAACCACATTTTAGTCACAGTGTGGCATGCATGCTCTTTTTCAAATATCCATAAGCTATGACATTGCACTATGGGGACATTCAGCTGCCGCAAAGACATCTAGCTCCTTCAGAAGATGGCTTTAAGGGTGATTACGTCCGCTTGGCACCGTGACCACTGTAGGGCTATCTTTAAGGATCTAAAGGTTCTGCCCGTCTACAGTCAGTACATCCTTAGTGTCATATTACTCAAGAAAAACTCAGCAAAACTTGCTCAACGTGAGGACCAAAACTCGTACTTAACACAACATAGCCATCTCCTTGCCCTGTCCAGATGCCGACTTGCCTGGAATCAAAAGTGCTACCCTTACTAAACAAGCAAACTCTACACTAAGGGACTATTTGGGGGGCAGATCTCTGTAACTCTGTAAAAGTGAACTGGATGGCACACCACAATTTGGCAACCCGTCGCCATCGTAGTTATTTTTATAGGTACCGGTATGTTTTAATTTAGTTTTAATACCCAACCTAATTAACGCAATATTTTCAGACTTTGTCTGTCACCGATGCGGTATTTCCACCCGACTGTTTTGAATATTGTTCTAAGGTGAGGGAATGAACCTTTGTCAATCAATTTTCAAATGACAATTAACATTTAACAGCTCTAAAACTCTGGGTAAAGGGTACTAGGTCAACCCAGCATTTTATTAACTAAATTTAACTTAATAACTTTACCGTACTGCATTTATTAACTAGGTTGAATGTTGTGTTCACGTGTCGACACTTGTTCAGACTACAAGCGTCTAAATTTAGAGGAATTTAGTGTCAGTTCAGTTGGATTACTTAGACCATAACCTTGTCATGTAGAGCTATAACTTAGGCCTATATCAACCCACCTAACCTTCAGTTTAGACCTATTAGTATAGGATTCGGGCCAACAACGTCATTTGTTTATATGTTTATGATCCATACCGGTATTGTTCTAGTATTCGTGAGGCCTACTAAATGGCATTTTGAATGTAGGAATTGTATTAAAGCCTATTCCTGTCCAAAAATAATGGCTTATGTAATTATTTGTTTTGAGAACAAGTGACTTCAGCTTTATTTTTAACCAATCGAGCTTTAAAGCCGATTAATCTGATACAAACAGAATGCCCATTCATTACGTAATAACTCCTATGAAACTGCAAACAGCAATCTGCCTGACATAGCTATGTTATATTAGGCCTACACTACTACTGTAGGTTTAGGCTTTGGGTTAACGAGTATTGTTAGTGTGGTATAGCCTACCATTAGATCTGAACTGTGTACAGTCAACAAAACGCAAGATCTTGGACAAGATTATTTTGTTGGTTAAACATTTAAATTGTTAAGTGACTAGGCCTAACTAACTTGAATACTAGCACTCAAGTAATAACTTATAAGTGAAATAAAAACTATTGGGGTTAGCACTACAGGTAGACTATTCACTGATTCCAAAAATTTAACCTTCTCGGAGAAGTCTAAGTAACTTTATTAGGTTAGCAAAGTAACATGTTAAGCTACATCCAAGTTACTTAACAAAGTTGTAGTGTTGATGTCAAGAAATAGGCCTAACTTAGTTTTTAAGCGTTTTTAGAACGTTTTAGATGAGTTGGGGGTGATAAACATGCAACCTTCAGACGCTAAGTTTCAAGTTTGCACTATAACAACCCAGCTAATGCTTAAGTTGTCAATAGCTTGAATATGCTACGGTACCAGTATAGGTAAGTTAACTTTTTCTATTAAGTTACCTACCACAACACAACAGAACATCACACTAAGTAAAGCACTGGATTCATTGGATTACAATGAATAAGAACTTAGCCACTTTCTGAGGCTTGAATACTTTAAATGCTCTTGTATACAAATGAGTTCACCCCATCCCCAGTTTATAAAGGCGGCTATGCCTCATTAATATATGAAATAGCCTTAACTTAAGTTACTATGTCTAATTCCTAACCTGAACAAAACTGTTAAAGATTATGTTGATAGAATCAGGGATTAGAGTTTTAATACAGTATTTTTAAAAGAGGCTTAAGATAAGGCTAAAATAAAAAATACTGTGTGATGCAGTGTCATATCACAAGCTTATCAATATTCCTTGAAATGAAAAGTGGGGTATCAATAACCCAAGTATGGCCTAAGTCCAATTGTGTCTGGGGTTGTTTTGCTCAAGATTGAACAACTGCACAAGGGATGTTAAATTGTATAAAAATAAATGCAAACCTTGCTTTCTGACGGGCATTTCGAAGTAACGTATCCTCCTGTGTCGGCTTTGTTGTATTTTCGAAAACACTAAAACAACACCCCACTAGCAGACGAGGTTATTTTTTTAGAATAGAACCTCTGAGTGTTGGGCACCAAGAGATAGAATTCACAATTGAAAGTGAAATTGAAGTATATCAAAACACTTACACCACGCACATTTGTATCCCGTCGACGATATTATTTGTTTCACTGCACTCAAAACCGGGATAAACACGGGACAACGGTCAATGGCGTCCACAAACCGTACGCAAACTACAGCAGACGAAAAGTTACTGGCGACTGACGGGATTGGTCAGGTCGATTAAGGGATTACGTCATGTCATAAACAAAAGTAAAAATTATTTTTGTACGTATAGCCGTATAGCCATGTTTCTATGAGAATTTATTTTTGGAACAAATACCCGCTTGAAGTAGATAAACCATAGTGATAATAGCTCAAATACTTTACGGATTAAAATATATATGTATATATACTTTTTCTTGTATGCTTATGTTGTAGTTTCTATAATCAATGGTGCAGCTGCAGCGAAGATCTTTGAGGATTGTCTTCCTCTCATGAGGAACCCATGGTCAAGGCTGAACAATCCTTTGAGATGTCTAAGAACTGGTTCAGACTTCGAAAACTAAGTCATATAGGAAAATGAATGACTGGTAAAGACAAACACATGGTCTGCAGTCTGGCTCGAAATCTTATTCCTAGTAACCTCCCTGGATATAAATTAGAAGTTACGCATACTTGCACCTATCATGTTTGCCATCTTATTGTTTCCGTTGCCAGTCACTCGAGCAAATGGCATTCATAGAGGCAAAGTTCGTATTCAATCATTCATACTATTTTGTCTATTTTTTGCCATATACGAATAAAAGTGAACAGTGATTATGTTTTATTTAATATAAATCACACAATTACCCCTTTGTCCTATTAATTTGAGCGGGTTTGCTTATACAAAGTAGCTGTTCTAGGAGTGGGCTACCAGGGGCTTGGGGGTGTGGAGCTCCTCCCAATAATGGAGGGGGGTAAGGGGGTTCTTTCCTGGGAAAGTTTTTTTATATTTTAAAGTTTAAAATAATTAAAGGCCGTTTAGTGACTTGCTAACACCTAAAATTGTGTCCGATTGACCCAAAAACTCCCATTTCATCAACTATTTGTCATGATCAAGCGTAGAACGTCAACCAATCACAGACCATGATTAGCGCATTGGTCAATAAGCAGTCTACTTTGATTCTCTTTGCTCAGTGTAGACACCCAACGATATAGTTTCAAATAATATGCTACTGGCGCTACCGCTGATGACTATGATACCTGTTTAGTGTCATCATAGACTAGCATGTTTTATCTATGGTAGTGTGTGTGTGTGTAAGTAGTAGCTAGCAGACAATTTGACAAAACTAGGAACATGAAATCGACTATTTCCCGTCCTCGCTGTCAAGCTCGGGGCTCCCCAAGTAGTACACATCGTTGGCCCAACGTTGGGAGATGGTCGGCACGGTTGGGAAATGGTTGGCAGAAATTTTAACGATTTGCCAACGTTGGCTCAACGGAAACTGGTATTCGTTGGCCCTACAAAGGAAAGAATCGTTGGGCCTTCGTTGGGTTTTAAGTATAAAACATTCTAAAACGCATTTTAACGAATTAATTTATTTAAAAGTACATAAATGTTATGACAGCAGAATATAAGACAAATATTGTAAAAATTTGGATCTATAATAAATGTAGTCAGATGATGTTGTGATACTAGATACAGCGGGGAACACCTGCTTAACATATAATAATTATAATAATTCCTTTTTTTATATTCTTTAACTTATTTGAGCAAATTGTTAATAGTTATTGGGGAAAGATTAATTAATTATATAACAATCGATTATAACAGTAACCTACTAATCTAATGGTAATTAAAAAATCTATATTCAAATACTAGTATCCTCTCCAACTACCAGAAAAACAATTCAACTGCTTAAGGCCTAAACAGATTAACAGATTCATATTATACTGTAGCATCAAAAATAGTTTAAGTACTGTATTGTGACCATTGCACCTGTCGGCTACTCTTTGACCACTTGAAAACACTCATAATCAATAAGCACAGTTAGCTTAGAGGTAAGGCGTGAGGCTCACAAGGCGAAGGTAATGGGTTCGAGACCCGTTCCGGCCAAATAATTTTATCTAGTTTTTTTTCAAAATTAGTTTTTATGAACTATTTAATCAATTTTGATTAAATGACAATGTTAACATTGTCTCACTCTAATTACTTTGTCTCACTCCAGATTTGCAACATGAAGGCACGAAATAGTGAGCGCGTAACATGCAGGCAACGTCGTATGCGCGCGAAATACGTTGGCAGCACTGGCTGTAAATCAGCTGGTCAGCTGTTGTACTGTTGTATTTGTCACTATGTCACTTCAAATTAAATGTTATATTAAAAGTTCACTTCTGTGTAAAAATAGGTTATGTTTGTTCATGTTTCTTCACAAATGTTTTTGTTTTATGGTAACTGTAGGAAAAGTATAATGTGCAACTCGAGTTCAAAGTGCAATTGCCTCACTCGAGAAACCATTCCTCACTCGCCTACGGCTCGTGAGTAAGGATTTCTCTCGAGTGAGTCAATTGCTCACTTTTCTCACTAGTTGTACAAATAACTATTTCTTTACACTTCTTATGATTTTTCCGTAATCGTTAGGCATACAACAACGCTTCAATATACTAAATATTTGCTTTTTATGCTTCTCAAAATGGTTTGGAAAGAAATTGCAAAATTTTATATTTTCAGAATTAAAAAATTTTAAACCTTCATTTTACCCCATACAACCCCCATGGCCCCATAAACCCCTGTTCTCACAGTCCGATTATGCTGGTTTGCAAACTCGTTCCAATAAATACAGGTGAACATAATTTCATCAAAATTGAACCTTTTTTGCTTGAGTTATCGTGCTAACTGACACATCTATAAAAATACAAATTATAGGTGACCAATGCTGATGTTTTTTCTCCTGTAGTAGGGCATTTCTTTTCTACCTCTCTCTTAGTTCACCGTTGTCCGTTCTCCTGTTCTGCTTCTGCTCTGCACTGCACTTCTGGTCTTCTGCTGCTGCTTTGGGGATCTGTTTTGATGTTTAGAATTATAATAAAAAGGAACCAAGTATTATTGTAGATAATTTTCTTAGTTTTTAGTCTATGTAAGTATAAAGTTTACTAATAAGTTAAATTAAGTAGTTTAAACCGAAAACTGTGAATCGTACTGTTTTGCATTACAATTAACTACGAAATGTCACAATCAGCACCGAACCTTCTACTTCTATCAAATTAAGTAGGAGGCTAACATTAGGCCCAGGCCGGTAACACTTCATATCTTCATCATAATCTTGGCTTATTATATCCGCAGATGATACCGGACGTGGCAGTTATTAGGCGTCCTGCAGTGACTTTACCGGGTTATGATTTATGCGTGACGAGTGAAGGGGTCCCGGCTACTGGTCGCAAATTCAGGGGCCATATTTATATAAATAACCTAACCCTAAAGTACAGTTAGAACCGTTAAGTTACTTTGACAAAAAGTTAGTGTTACCGGTGGGATTCAATCTCTTTAGGTAGCCTACCTCTTGGACATCAGCCGAGTACTCTATCTTCTACACCACAAACACCGCTGGCTGCACTTCGTATTGTTGCGGTAAAGGTGTTCCACAAAAGTTTTCTGGGCCCCCACAACCCGGTGATGTTACTGCCGGACGCCTAATCCTTGTCCGGTTACCCGACATGTATCCTCTGCGTATTAAATCTTGTCAGTCCCATTAATTGCATCAAATTTTTTATCCTTTACTAGCCTTTCCCTCGTTGGATTTTGCCATAAAAGTTTATTTTACGCCTATTTGGTTAGTTGAAACCACAAATACTAGAAAAATACCGGTATGGATCATAAACATAAACAAATGACGTTGTTGCCCCGAATCCTATACTAATAGCATCGAACATATGTTTTGTCAGTTCCATTTAAGCAATGTTAAATAATGTTTATTTTCGGGCCAAAAACGTCATTTGTTTATGTTTATGATCCATACCGGTATTTTTCTAGTAATCGTGGTTGAAACCAGTCTAAGTAGTCTTGATTTTTGGGGTACATTTCGCAGAGAACTTAAGATATATTTTTGGATGAATAACTATACCTATATATCTAAACTTGTGTATAGACAACACAACTTGTGTTCAGTATAGGCAGGCCTCAGTTTAATATTATTATATTTTTTCTATTCTACTTGTAACTACTGGTAGGGCCTAGTTGCTATTGAAGTGTCAATGATTAAAGTAGGCCTATTGTAAGTTTATACAGTAATAACTGAAGTTACCAGTACATTTACTCATAAAACATAATTTTTGTTTAGTTGCTAGCCTAATTCAACCTCCTCTGGGACCTAGAAAATTTTGTTAACTAAAAAGTATTTTAACATTATATGTGTTTGCAGATAGAAGATACTTTAATTTGGTGAAGAGTGCGGTTAAAAGATTTGGTGAAAATGATAAATGTATTTATCAACAAAGCAAAACGAACAGATATTCCAAAAGATGCAGTTATCCTGACAAAAGGGGAGGCCTTAAGAATGCAGTGGGATATAATATCAAATTGGAAATCAAAAACTGATACGTAAGTTAAGTTGTATTTGGCCCCAAAGGCTACATAGAAAGGCAATGAAACCCTTACTTGTAGTCAACTGAAACAAAACGGCTGAAAGCTATACCTGACAAGCTCTACGAACCAAGTTGAAAATTATTGTGATTTGGCTTTTTTAACCAGTGTTGCTACTGGGTAGACCGTCAGTTTTGATCACTAGCTTAGCAGTTTAAGGCTCAGTTAGACTAAGGCTAGGCGCACACGAGCGATTATTTTGAGGCGACTATTTCATCGGCTGATCTGTGCATCATGTAATTGAATGGAAGCGCGCACACAGGCGATCGAGAATTGCGCCGATTTTAAAATCTGGGTTTTGTCACAGATTCGTAGGCAAGGCGATTGTCGCCCAAAAATCTCTAACATACAGATTGTTATCAGTCCGCGCACACGGTCGACTAAAAAATCGGCCAGTCGCTTGTTGTTCTGCACAGGAGTCAGTGAACTTCAGTGTGAGTTGTGTTGTTTTCTTTGCTAAAAAGTCCACAGTTGTTATAATAAAAACTGAAACTTTCAACAGACATTCTTTAGTAATTAAAGAACTTTTTACTGCTGTTGACAGTTTATAAAACTGTCGATTTAAAAGTATCCG